ATTTATGGTACTCGTATGGTTTTTAAGGACGGATGGTTTCCACCGAAAACAAATCTGAAATAGGTATTTACATTATGTGTGACACAGTGGTAATCTCCTTATGTCTGCTTGTCTTTCACAGTATACAGTTTTAGTGACAAAGAACAAGACAATTATATAGTCATACTATATAAAATAAGATTGTTGAGATATGTGCAAATGAAAAATCCCAGAGTATATCCTGGAGGCTAGCCAAAATCTTTGAGCCTGGGAGAACCCTGCTTATGAAGGAGTTGCTGGGGTAGATCCAGGAGGGCAGGCCCTGGAAAAATACAAGGGAAAAAGATCAATTGTAATACTGGTGTATTTACTGATAGAATTTCTCTTTAGGGATTGTTATTAATTTTCTTTGGCTGTCTCCCATGAAACAGGCTGTTTCCTCTCCATACAAAGAATACAATCAGTCAAGGATGAATAATATCCATCCAGAGCACAGCATTTTTATCCTGGCAGAGAAAAGAGCTCCCTTGTCAGAGGGGCTCCATTCTGTGCAGTAGTTTTCAAAGTTTTTCCTTGCTTGGGTCCTTTCAAAAAATGAGATAATATAAGAGACTGAGCCTGTTGCTGTGCTACTGTGGCCTTCTTTCCAATGACCACTTAATCAAGGTATAACTAGAAATAGATAATGAGTCTGTGATTGTAAAAGGCAACATGAAATAGAGGTATTTCCCCAAAACGTGATGCATTGCTAGCCAGAAGATGGTAGTTCTTCAGACAAATCAGATTCATAGACTATTTGTTTTCTTGCCAATGAAAGAAAGAATCCCCTTAATTTTTTGTTTTATTTTATTTTATTTGCCTTTTGCCCTTTGCTGTCAGCTTCTTTTGCAATCACCAACTTCAGTTCAACAGTTTACTCCAAGAATGAATAGTCAGAAAGGAGAGCTGTAGATAGATGTGCTTTTAACTCTTTGATTTATTAAATAATTTCTCTTTTATTGTATTTTATCAAGTTGGCTTTTAATAAGTTTTAATTGTAGTAGCTTTACTTTTTTTCTACTGCTTTTATATTGATGTTTGCTGGGTAGCTTTATGTAGAGTTTATTATTTAGATTTTATAGTATTATTGGCTGGTCTTTAATGATTCTGTGGTGCCTATGAAGTCTTTTGATTGGCATCTCAAAGATGAAAATAATTATATAAAAACAACCATGTAGTGGCTAGGTAACAGTGTGTTACTCATACAATATAGGAACATATAAGCAGTAAGTTGGTATGAAGTGAAGGAATTTGGAGTCCAAAAGGAACAGAAGAGGATACATTTGAGGTAGAATTGGAGAGACAGATGTTTGGCATAGGGTTTCAACTCCTTTCTTCTTTCTTACAACGGGACTCTTGGTGCAACTGCCTAAGAGACAGGAAATCAGTAGGTGACATGCCCAGTTGTTGCTATTCCATATTGAAAAGGGATGCACCATCTGAATTTCTGCCTTCCACATTGATGTTGAAAGTTGTAGCTGTATTTTAGAAAGAATGTAAGTGTGGCTCGTAAGCAGAGCTTCTGAATCTGTCACATTCTGATGTCACCAGCTTCCTCATGTTGCAACCAGGAGGTTGACTGTGTATCATGCTCTTGGGAAGACACACTAAGAAGATGAAAGTTTATCTTAATCCTTTGTCAGACCTGCTTCCATAGTTCTGTGGCTTTCCTCAGTCATTAGAGAGGCAATGCAAAGCAAATAAATAATGTACAAGGTAAACAATAACAAGCACTAACGGACCTTGGGAAGTGATCAGTTTCTTTATCACAACTTTTTCTGGAACAGTTTGGAGAACTACAAACACAATTTCCCTCATGTAGAAAGTCCCTTAATAGATTTTGAGGTGAAAAATTCATTCAAAATACCCATTTGAGAGGCAATTGCTAACTGGAGCTGGTCAAAAGGATCACATAACCCACTGGTTCTTAACCTTGGGTTACTCAGGAGTTTTGGACTGCAACTCCCAGAAGCCTTCACTACCAGCTGTCCTATTTCATTTAAAATACCCATTTAAGAGGCAATTGCTAACTGGGGCTGGTCAAAAGGATCACGTAACCCACCTGTTACAGCAGCTCCATTGGCTGCCAGCCTGTTTCCAGGCAGAATTCAAAGTACAGGTTTTTAACTATAAAGCCCAAAATGGCTTGGGCCCAAGCTACGTATATCAAGGACCATTTCTCCCTTTATGAGTTTGCTCACATGTTAAGATTATCAGGAGAGGCCTTTAGATCCTGCCAGCTTCACAGGTGTTTTTGATAGGGGCATGGAGAAAGCCTTCTCTGTTGCTGCTCCCAGACTTTGGAACTTCCTCCTACAGGAGGCCAGGCTGGCCCCATCTTTGCTGTCCTTTAGCAAGCAGGCGGAGACCTTTTTCTTCAGTCAAGCTTTCCCTTAATGACTGACTACTTGAGAGGTTTGTTTTTTTAAAAAAATGGATTTGTGGCTTTTAATGTGTTTTGGTCCTTTCCAAATTGTATACTCACTGTTGTTAGCTTTACATACTTTCTTTTAATGATGTAAGCCCCCTTGATTCCTTACTGAAGGAGAAAGGTGGGGTATAAATGAATAAATAAATAAATAAAAGTACGTACATACATACATACATACATACATACATACATACATACATACATAATGTGGCACACTCATTCAGTGGGAGAAAATACATGGGATGTACTGAGCAGGGGTTTTAATTCTCTTACTACTTTATTATGCAGGTAACAAATGTGAGTCCTATATGAGATGTACATTACTTTCCCTGACCCTTTTCTTGTCTCTTCAGTTATAGATAAAGACAAGAGCCTGTACAATCTTGCAGATAAGAATATTGGGTGATAATTACACATACTAGTTCTTGGAGAAGTCTGAGGAATATGGTTGATAAAAATGATTGTTTTAGTTCATAGAAAGGGCAAGATAGTGGCTGTGTTGGGTAGGTAGGAGACACTGGCTGGAATCAAGTTCAAGGCATAATCTAAGGCTACCCTGTTGTAAATGTGCCAGGCATTTTGCCCCAACAACAAGGACCACAGAAGATGATAATAGAATCAGTCATGCAGTTCCCATTTGAGCAACTGCACAATGTGCCAGTGGAAGTGCTTTGTGGAGAGCACTTCCACCTTGGCCCGATTATAGCTACCATGGGCATAATATTGAGTTACGCCAGTGGGGTCTCTACTTAAGAACTTAATCCGTATTGGAAGGTGGTTCTCAAGTTGAAAAGTTCTTATGTTGAATCTGTATTTCCCATAGGAATGCATTGAAAACCATTTAATCCGTATCTGCTCTTTTCCGTTCATAGAAACTACAGTGGAACCTCTACTTAAGAACTTAATCCGTTTTGGAATGATGTTCTTAAGTTGAAACGTTCTTAAGTTGAAGCAAAATTTCACATAGGAATGGACTGAAAATCAATTACAGTGGTGCCTCGCTTAGCGAATACCTCGTTTAACGATGACTTCGCATAGCGAGGGGGTTTCCGGGGGAAATTACTGCCTCATATAGCGAGACTGTCTATGGAGGAAACTCGCCGCTCCGAAGCGCCCGCCCGGAGAATGCCTGCAGGCTGGCCGGCGATTCGGAGCGGCCGCGGGAGAGGTCTCCCCGCAGCTGCTCCGAAGCTCCCGCCCGGAGAATGCCTGTAGGCTGGCCGGCGATTCGGAGGGGCCGATGCGAGTTTCCTATAGGATTTTAGCCACTGAGGTTCTTTAGGGCAGGAACAGCAACATAATTGCATCTCTGTGTTTAGAACTGCAGTGCTTATAGGTCTTAGCCAGTATGGATCACAGATAGAATTTAAAAAAATGAATCACTAAATTTGTTCAGAAATCACTAATTTGTCGATTCGTAATCATATGAATTAATGCCCCAGACAAAAACAAATCAATGAATTTTTAGTGATTTTTGATTTGTCAGTTTGTTTGGCTATATTGAACGCAAGCTGTATAGAGTTTTATAGCTATTAACCAACACTTTGAATTGAGGTTGGAAAAATACTGCCAGCCAGTGAAGCTGTTGTAATAAGGGAGTTACATGCTCCCTGTAACCAACACCAGTCAGCAGCCTATCGGCAGCAGTTAAAACATTCATTTAAAAGATTGCATATAAACACATATATATTAGAGAAACCAAAGTTTAAAATGTATTGCTTTATAAAAAGATCATAAATTAAACAAAATTGCATAGAGTGTATTCATTTGTAGTAAGGTTGGCCACCTTTCTTTCCTTCCTTCCTTCCTTCTTTCCTTCCTTTGTCACATTTAACAGCCCTGTGAGGTAGTTCATCCTGAAGGGACTGAGTTTTGCAAGATCACAAAGTGAGACCAGCGAAAGTGTAGATTAGAAAACTTGATCTCTCTACCCTTAATTTAGAACTTCAACTATGCCAGTTCTTTACATTAGATTAAGCAGATTAAAATCAGAAAGAAAGTACAGTATTTGAGTAAAATTACGCAGCAGAACAGACTTGTAGAAGTGGAAAACATACAATAAGTTATATCTTAAACGAGGTACTGCTTTATGCTTGCTCTGTGCCCTTTCTTTGTCTGAAAAAGTTATCCGTGTACAGTATATGAATGAATTGAGAAACGCATTCACAATTTTTTTTCCATCTGAAGACACTTCAGAAAAGTTTTAAACCAGTTTCAAAAAACATCTTATGATGGATTCCGCCCTAAAACGCAGGGAAATTGTAACAGATATTTTTGAAGTGGCTAAAGTGCAAAAAACGATGGGGAAATGGTAGCCTAGAAGACAAAGGGCTAAATCTCATTGTTAATCAAATTAGGGTAGACGTGCTGAACCAGCAGAACTACCTAAATGCTGGTTTAACAAGATGCAACAAGTTGATTGTATTTGGAACTAACAACGGGATCTAGCTCAAAAATAAATATCCGCTTTATAAGCATTAGTTGTTATCAGTTGTAATTCACTCCTCTCTCTCTCTCTCTCTCTCTCTCTCTCTCTCCTTCTCCTCCATAGGGCTAAATATTTTCAAGGAAAGAAGGTGAATGGGGAATTTGAGATCCGAGTGGAACAGGTCAGTGGGCAATGAAAATTTCTGTCAAAAATGGATTCAAGCATGCAGTCCCATCTTGACTTTGCAGGTGTTAGTTAGGAATTAAGAAAGCATTTTGAGTTTGACTTACATCAGATTTAATTTGGTTTTCTGTTACGGTAGTTTGTTTGTCAGGGGCTTGGAGTGTTTTTCCAGGTGCCTGCTGAGTCATGCTGTAGATTTTCATATTCTGCTTGCTGTAGGTGAAAACATGGTCTTTCTGAAGCGAAAGAGTTTTCTCTTAAGGAAAAAACATATAGTGGGATAATTTAGAAAAAAAGATCTCCAAGTGATTAGTGCTTGTGCCAAAAAAATTCCAGCAACGTCACTTTCCACCTGTTTTCTTGCGAGGTGTTTTCTTGTGCAGTGGTTTTAACATGAGGAAGCACAGAAATTTTGTCTGCATACCTCAAAACAGTTTTGAAATGTTTATATGAGTTAGCCTTATTCATTCTTATAAGAACTCATTTTCTCTCTAATGTGTTCTAATTTTCTGCTCGCTGTCCCTGCAGCCTGCTCTGTGGGGAATGCAGGGAAAGACAAATAATCTTTTTCCCAGTAAGTTATTGACTTTGGAACAGAAGGCTTTAAGCACTGGTTCTTCTTTTCCATCAGCTGCTATATAAGCTCTCTCATCTCACTCCATGACTGGCTTTTGATCTGTTGCTTTTGCTTCTTCACTGACACTCCAGATTTCACACTTGGCATGAAAATAGGACAGGCCTTCTTTCAGGCTATTTGCTTTGAAAATATGTTACTTCCTCCTGGCCCTGCTTTTTTATCTCCTGAACTTCCAACCCCACAACCAATCATACCCCAGTCTGCCACTACTCCTTTGGATACCCCTTTTATTTTCAGCTGCATATGAATTGGGGATGAATTGGCTCGCCTCTCTGTCTCTAGGACTTTGCTTCCCTAAGTTACAACCTATTTCTATTAAGTCATAACTTTCATCTGAAAATGAGAACATAGTCAAAAAGCTTATTAGTGAAAAAGACTTATTTACATAGGTAATTCCTGCAAACGTTTGTATGTTTTTGAAAAGTTTTAAAGCTGGAAAGATTTCTGGGCAGGTATGAGTCTGGCATTCCTCACTTTAGAAATTAATTGCTCTTTTTAGATGCAGATGAGTATATAATTATGATTTAACTGCTAACCAATAAATGATAGTTTCTTCTTTGCGGTCTCTACAAGTCATAAATATGAGTCTTGTGCCTGCACTGAGCCATTACTGAAACATTTTAGAACTGAATAATATTGGTGGAGTCCCTACCCTCTGCCCATCATAAGCAGCTGCCCCAGGCAGCCCCTCAGTTCCCTTTCTTTCCTATGAGCAGCAACTTAAGAAATGTTCTCAGCGTCACACTTCCTCTCTTGCCGAGTACTGCTATTCTAAATTATTCTTGTTCCCTAGTCATTTTTATTTACTTCATTTATGTCCCACCCTTCTCCCTTTCCGGACTCAAAAAAGCTTGCAACATTCATTTTAAAAAGAGGATCAAAGAAAGAAAGAGAGAAAGAAGTTGTTCTGTTTTATTCTTTTGAATACTTTTCTTAGTTTTAGTCCTGTTGAGGCAAGGAGGCATCTTATTAGAATTGTTTTCATTTTCCTTTTTTATCCATCTGTAAGATGACTTCAATTTCAAGAACCATAAAGACCATCATTCCTCTGGCCTCCAAGATATCAGTTCCAGTTTTGTCAATATCTGGAATTTGGTTACCAGTGGCCAACAGCACACTTACTTTAGTCTCGGCCTTTGGTATGATGGTACCTTCAATACTTTCAGACTCACGTCAGGTACCCTGATCCATTATTTATCATCATCATCATGAGAAGAAGAAGAAGAAGAAGAAGAAGAAGGCTTGTCAACCTCAAAAATCTGTGTATGGCTCAAATAGATAATAGAAAATCAAAAAGGGCTAAAAGTATTACAACTTGCGAGAATCAACTTACATTAATGAAAGACATTTTGTGTAGGAATGCATGATTCGGGAAACCGTTACACCGATGTACTTTATCCACTGATATTTTAAGTCAGAAAATGTTCACTCTTGAATTGTTATATTTGTTCTCACTCTTAATAGCAAGCCAAACATTTTCTATAGTCTTAATGTTTTAGTCTTTAGTAATCTGTTTCAGTTTCCTGTGGTCACACTTTGAAAAGATACAGAAGTTATTTTTCAAATTATTAAATCGTTAGTAAATGGTAACCTTCCCAGCTCCAGTCAGTCGATGTTTTCAGGTGTGTTCCTCTTGAAATGTTGTAAGGCTTTAGCTAAAAGAATCACAAATTTCCAATGCTAAGTTTATAGTTAGTCAATTGTTGGCAACAGGTTTTGAACACAATTCCACATGAAAATTTTTGCAAAAGAATGTAGGTCCTATTCACTTTATGTCCTCTTGGAATTTGGTCCTGATCACTCTTAATCCCATTCTTATTTATTATTGCAATAAGCCTAATACAAAGTCCTTGTGTTTTGTTAAAGTTGGACCAACTTCTTGAGTATTTCCCAGGCACTAATTAGACCGGCTGCTGCCTTGTGGAGATCTTGTTGAGACAAACATTCCATTTGAAAAAGAATTTTCAAAGTAGGACAGTCTATTCTGCACAAAGCTGTTGTTATCAAGTAATCCCCTGGTTGTTGTTGTGTTCTTTCATTTCAGGCAGAGTTTTCAGAACTGAACCTGGCTGCTTATGTAACTGCTGGCTGTATGGTGGACATGCAGGTTGTAAGAAATGGCACCAAAGTGGTCAGGTAAAATATAGTAACCTTCCCCCCACTTACAATTGTCATGCATAATCTTTTTTCTGAAGCACCTTGTCAAGGATGGCTCTTGTACCAGGATAGGAGGCATTTCACTCCAAAATCTGGGGGGGGGGGAACAACACCCCTTTCCTTGTCACAAGCCATTTGTGTGCCTTGTGTTCCCAGAAGTTTGCAATGTCTGCTTATGAGCAATTTAGTATAGGCTGACCAATATGGAATCTATAATATTTCTAGAATCAGAGAAGCAGGAGTTAATTTGATTTGGGGATTTGTTAGTTATTGAAAGAGACTTGTTTTAGAAGCAGTTTTAGTATAATATATGGTTAGCTATCTAAATCTTGGGAAAACAGAGTAGTGTTGCTTTGGAACTCCAGGGTGGGCATACTGCAAAGAAATTGCTATCAACATGCTTTTAAAATTAATCTTTTTACATCTTGTCTTCTCTAAACCTAGTTATATGCCTGGAGTTTATAACGCTGCATTCAGAGGCAGGGTATAACTAAACTAGTTTTATTGAACTGATTAACATGAGGGGGCTTTAGGCTGCTTGCATGGTTAACTCATACTTCCTACCTGCTTCTTTGGGCTTGGACGTTCAGGGACCCCAGTTAAGTCAGCTGGGGCTCCAGTTGGACGGACTGCACCCAGGGGATTAGTGCTAGAAACTCAACCTCCCAAGACACAGTCATTTGGATTCTGTCCCTTTAATAAAAGTTCCCATGAGTGACAAAACCAAACTGGAACTAGGAGGGGAGGCCAGTAGGACTCACAACATCAGATTTCCCTTCTAAGAGCAATAACCATCTCCTTCACCTTTTAATCTTTATCCGCTGAGGTTGTAGTAATGAACTACAGGTTGTGCTAAATCTAAGTTCTTACTTCTTTTACCTAAATGTAGGTGCCATTCACTAAGCAATACTTAGAGAAGGGGAAAAACACTCTATTCCTCAGCCAGCCTGGGTAGCATGAAAAAATGCTTCCTAGTTTCCAGTCACATTAATTGCTATTGTCTGGAACCACTAGGAACTCTGTGGCTTGGAAGGCTGACCTACACTAAGATAATGTCGAGCTATGTCATCAAAGACTCATTCCCACATGATCTCTCAGAAATCAAGTAACATGTGATGTCTGGGAACGTCAGCCATCAAAATATTTCCTAATGGCAATGGCAGAAATTTCGTAGGAGTTAGTTTTCTATATCAACAGGAGGTGGGTGGCTGTAGAGAATGATATCACGTCTTCCCACCTCGCATTCTCCTTTCTGTAGGCATGGGATGATAGAGTTTGTGGCACCCTTGTTATGGTAGCATTTGAATGACTGCGTGCATAACGAAAGATGTGAAGCCAAAATGCCACTGAATGAACAAAGTTTTCAGGAATGTCTGGGGGAAGAGCTGGGATGAAGAGGAAAAAGTCACAACCATGCCTGCATTGTATAATCCTACTGTGGGAGACCACATAACAAATTAGATTAATATTTAAAAAGTTTCCTGCTTGTTTATCACAGGCATGCAATGTAGAACTATCAGAATGGGGAAAATATATTTATTTATTTACTTTATTTATTTATTGTATTTTTACCCCGTCTAACTCTAGGTGGCTTCCAACATGCATAACATACATAACAAAATATAAAATATATAAAAATATAAAATGTAATATCAATAGACAAATAATTCAAGATGGAGAAAGGAAAAGGAAAAGAGAAATAAAAAGAAGAAAGAAATCAAGTGTTCACTGGAGGGAAGGCCTGTGTAAACATCCAAGTTTTTAATTGGTTTTTAAAGGTGCCTAGCGAAGGGGCCGCACGATCGCCAGAGGAAGGTTATTCCAGAGGCGAGGATCTACTGCTGAGAAGGCCCGGTTTCTTGTTTTTTCCTTCCAGGCCTCCCTCGGTGTCAAGCTCCTCAGCCTCACCTCCTGACTCGATCGGGTGATCCGGGTAGATTTTGGTGGGAGTAGGCGTTCTGCCAATTATCGAGGCCCTAAACCGTTTAGAGCTTTGTACGTTAGCATTAAAACTTTGAAGTCAATGAGGAACCGAATGGGCAGCCAATGCAAAGCGGCCAGAGTGGGGGAGATACGCTGGTATTTTCTCACTCCACTAAGAAGTCTGGCCGCCGCATTCTGCACCACTTGGAGTCTCCGCATCAACCTCAAAGGCAGCCCCACATAGAGCGCATTACAGTGGTCTAATCTCGAGATTACGAATGCATGTACCAAGGTAGTGAGCGCCCCAACATCGAGATAGGGTCACAGCTGGGCTATCCGCCACAGATATAGCAAATCTATATTTTTAAAAATGGAAATTATACTTTTGAGATATAAAGTAGCTCCGCCGTCTCCCTACTCAGCTGGCCACTCAACAACCATGCAGTGAGATTCATCATCCCGCACCTTCCATGATTGGCAGGAAGAGCGGGATGCTGGTGGCACAGCGGCAAGTGAGTGGATGGGCCAATTACGAGGGCCAGACCCGCATTAGTTGCAGCTCAGACTGGGATTTGTTTGTATTAATTTACAAATACGAATAACCCTATCTCTAGTCTTTTTATTTTGTTGTTAAAACCTCTGGACTCTTAGTTAAAAATGGAACGTGTTAGAGCTTGCACTTTTGCTGTTGTAGCTACTATTTCTCGTCCCATTAATGCCAGGTGGATGTTAAACAGTATTTCTGTGTCTTTGAAAGTGCAATTATTAGAGCTAGTGGGAACTGTTTATTCTGCTTTTTATTTTACAGATAATGTAATTTTTTCATCATGGTCTCAGTGACTAATGGATGTCAACATCTGGAACATTCCAGAAGGAGCTCCTCCTTCTACCATATGAGCCCTAGTTTGCCTCAGCTCAAGCTTCTCAGTTACTTTTTGTCCACCATTAGAGCAACATGATTCAGAATGCTCTTCTTTGTTCTCATGTAGATCAAGGGTTGGGGGAAGATTTCCCATTCTTCCTTACATGTGTTTATTCTTTTCTCTTACCATTTTCCTTGTTAACATTTTTGTCTGTTTCTTTTCCACAGTGGACTTGGCTTTCCTCTTATAGACACTTTCGCCTTTTAAAGAAATGTTTGGTTTATGGGGGCAAGATTGTTCCCACTGATGAAGACTCCTGGTGTCTTTTTACTCCATCCTCTCCCAGTCTTGCTCCATTTTCTGGGGCTTCTTCATGCAGGGCCTGAAACTCTGACAAATGAAAATTTGTTTATATTTTTTTGAGAAGTCTTTTAAGGTAGTGGATCAGGCAGCAGAGAAGAGACCACTCTATATTGTCTCTGTTCATATTTGTAAGAAGCCTTCAAAAGATCAGGTCTTATTATAAATGTTGACATAGAGGACCATGTCCTCTATGTCAAACAGGACTTACTGGCTCTTCACTCTGCTAATCATCTCTATCCCCAAGTCCAGTCTACATGCCTGCAGCAAAACTGTTGTATCTGTGTCCAGTGCCACACCAGGGCAGGGCCTACTAGTACATGTACATGAGAGCTTCATGACGCAGTGGTTAAACTGCAGTACTGCAGCCAAAACTCTGTTCACAACCCTGGTTAAATCCCATGGTAGCCGGCTCAAGGCTTACTCAGCCTTCCAGCCTTCCAGGGTTGGGCAACTGGGTACCCAGCTTGCTGGGGGAGCAACATGTAGCCTGTACTATATAAACTACAAACCACCCAGAGAGTTCTTTAAACACTGTGGGAAGGTATATAAATAGCATGCTTTGCTTTTTGCTTTACTGAAACAAAAGAAACACACCTCAAGACATTAGTCCTGTTGAAGTGACACAGAGATGCAAATTAAGAAAAGACTAAAAAAAAGTAGAGTGCCTAGAGATCCTCATTGATGACTAGTTTCTCTGGTTTCTATTGTGACCTCTGATTCTTTGCTACTGGCCGCTGTTGAAGAGTTGACCTTCCCACAATACTGACCACCTTTAGTCTTACATTCTGTATCGTGTTCAACACCAGGTACATAAGGTTGTATGTCCCATACACTTTCATCTTTTGATATTAACTACCAGCTCCAAAATGTCACTATACCTCCTACGTTACCCACTCCAATTCTAGACCTAGCTGGGGGTACTTCCCGACATTTCCGTGATCCACCATCCTGTAGATCTTCTCAGGGCATTGTTTGCATGGACTCCATTTCTGCATGTGTCATTTGTGAGCGCACTCCTTCTCATTTGTCACCAGTTCATGATTTGTCTAAACAGAGCCTCACAGATTCCACATGATTCTACACACCACTCTCTTGGTTATGCTAGCAGATTTTGACAAGCTCCTCCTGGATAACCTAGATTGGATGTTTCATATTACCAAGATCAACATCATGACACTTACTATCATGACTACTACAATAGCTTTCAATCTCATTCTTAATCTTGATTTTCTTGATATTGTACCTCAATGTTATTCATGTCATTTACCTTACAAGTCTTTCTACCTAAATTCTGTAGAGAAGGATCTCATAGTAGTTGTACCCCTGGAAAAGTTATTATGATGTCAGCTGTCTATCTCAAAACCATTTGCCTACCCACTTGGTTCGATACGACCATGCTCTGGTACGTCAGCATCTCATTCAACGTCTGTCAATTTTTATCCTTTTGGCCAATTTACAAAATTTTGGTCATTCCTCTATCAGCAAATGATGAACCCCTGAGGTATCCTCAATCTTATAGAGCACCAATTGATCTCCTGCTGCTTCAGCCTTCTTCTTGTCCATTGGTATCAGTCCAAATTCCACCCTCTACAGATATAATTTCTCATTCACTGACTTACCCATCTGATTCTGAATCATTAGGATGCAAAGAATACACATCTGATTCTGAACCATGAGAATACAAAGAATCTGTGACTTTAGAATCTGTGCTGGGATTACCTTCACCAATAATTTCATCTCTGGACCCTGTAATAAATTATGCAGCCCCAACATCACCTTCTGAAGATCTACATTCCTATGTCAAACAGATCAAAATGCTGGGCATTGACA